TAGGAAAGCAAATGGACTGATCACTAGCAATTAGTCTCCAGTGAAGATCCCTCTTTATCTAAACCGAGTGTTTATCTTTGCCCACAGCTCACCACTGTGGGTGGCTGCTGATTTGACTTTTATTTAAGTAAAATGCTAATCAATTAAAATGATGATTCTAATGCTAGAGAACTCCTTATTACATGTCAAACCAACACCAAGTGAGAATCTGGTGAGTGAGATCAGTTCACATCGGAAAAAGAGAAAATCGATGAGGATGATGACAGGCAGATTCTTCATAGGAATATTTGAAAATCAAAGAATTAAAGGAAGCACTGGCAAAATTGGTGAGGTTATTGACTATATTTACAGAACTGACAATGTTTGCCGAAGCCGGTTTGGCTCAGTGGTAGAGCGTTGGTCTGCGAACCAAGGTCCCAGGTTCGATTCCGGGCAAGGGCATGTACATTGTTTGCGGGCACATCCCTGGTAGGGGGTGTGCAAGAGGCAGCTGGTCGATGTTTCTCTCTCATAAATGTTTCTAGCTCTCTATCTCCCTTCCTTTCTGTAAAAAAATCAATAAAATATATTTTAAAAAAAAGAACTGACAATGTTTAGGATCTTGTGGGGATAAAGTGTTATGTTAATAGTTAATATACAGTTATGAAGGAATAATTATGATCTTCCAATCCAATCAAAACCATTCATTATTTGTTTATTGTATAATTTATATTTACTTTGTAGTTTTAAGATATTGATAAAACAAATTTTATATATTTTATTCTTTTTAAGGATAAATTCCCAAACATATTAACTATTTTTTCAAATTATTTAATGACATGTAATCTTTGTAGTAAATTTATATGCCCCTTTTCAGGTTCTAATTATCCTCACAGATGAAGATGGCATTCAAGTGAATAGGTTTCATACTTTCTTTTCAAGTAAATAACTAAGTCTTCCTCCATATATATTTTCCCCAAACTTCCATACTGGCCCCATCTAAACTTCAAAGTTAAACTTTATCTAGATCTTCACCATTTATGCCTTCTTCTTTATATAAGCCCTTCTCCACCCCATGGAACAGATCTCAAACCCAATAGAAATACTGAGGACAATGTCATTATTAATATTTTGTCCATATTCTTTCTCCTTCATCAGGAATGTCTAGGATCTACAATGATTGAGTATGATTAAAGTGGAGATGACAGCTTCTCTGGATAACATGTTCTCTGGATATTGAATCTTTTCTTTAGACACTTTTTTTTAAAGTGACTCTTGTGATAAAACTGTGACTCATTTTCTGAATGACATGATTTCAACACAGTCACATTTGCTCCACCACTGCAAGAAAGGAAAACTAACAGTTCAACAGAATGCCCGACCTGTTGCAAATTACACGCGTGAAGTGTATGCACCTTTTTAATTGCTATTTTAAAGCACTGTTTGACTCAGAAAAAAAAGTAAAACTTAAAAAATCTTCAGGTTATATTGAATGTGTGAGTCAGCAATAGCACATTATGCAGGGCCAAGATTTCATATAGAAAAAAAAATTACTTCACTTGGTTCTTTACTTATTTATATATATTTTTGTTCCGTATTTTTTATCTGAATTTTGGTTTAAGTTACCCAGATAAATTATTTACTTTAAACTGACTACTCCAACTGTGAGTGAGTGAATAAAGCTATGCATAGGCACAATCTGTCAAAAGTCAATTATTCCATTCTTATTATGTTCTTATTATTTTCAAAATTATTGATTTTTAGGACAAAAACCAATTAAGTGTGTCATTAAACAATACTGAATTTAGAGAAACATCACAAATTCTCAGTTTCTTTGGAAACAAAATTAAATATTTATCTGATTTTATTAAATGCATTAATACCTAAGCAAAGTATGCTAAAATATAAAATGTACAAACAAAAAAGGACATTTTTAGGCATTCATACTCTTTTTTAAAAAATATATATTTTATTGATCCTTTACAGAGAGGAAAGGAGAGGGATAGAGAGTTAGAAACACCAATCAGCTGCCTCTTGCACACTCCACACCGGGCATGTGCCTACAATCAAGGTACATGCCCTTGACAGGAATCAAACCCAGGATCAAACCTGGGACCCTTCAGTCCATAGGCCGACGCTCTATCCACTGAGCCAAACCAGTTTCGGCCCTTAATACTCTTTATACAAATTGATATCATTACATATTCACATATATTTAAAATTTATGTTTAACATCATGTTAAATAATTGAGAAATACATCTCAAAATGTTAGCATTCTATTTTATTATATATTTATTCTAAAGCTGTTGGTTTTATTTTAATCATTATATAATAATCATTTTAAAGTAACTACTTATAGCTTTTTCAGATATAATCAGTCTTATTAAAGAAAGCCTAATTAAATATGAATAGACCATTATTTTATATGAGTTCCATTTGCCACAGATCAATTTAAATTCTCTAATGTGCAGAAACATTTTTTTTTTGCTTTGCTTATAAAGAAAGTAATTGATTAATTGCATGACAGATCTAATGATGCGTATTCCATCTAGTCCCACTAGGAACTTGTAAGAGCTAACAGAAGAGATATATAAAATAAAATAGTAAAAAACAAGTTAAAATTCAATGCTAAGGAAAATAGAAATTATAACAAGAGGTCAGTATTGTGGTTAAAAACAGCATAGGTTTTCAGGTAATAAGCTCCCACATGATTATGATCGAGCTTTAAATTTGTCCCAGGGGTTTCTAGAAGCTGAAGTGAAATAGAGACATGAAATAGTATATTTCTTAAGGCACATAAGGAAGGTGACATAAAGAAGACATAGGTGACAGACAAATTCCAAGAGTTTCTATGTTTTAGAGATTATTATTATTATTTTAAGCAAATCCAACACAGTGCTAAGTAAAGGGATCAGAAACTTAGGGTTTTATTCTTGGCTCTATCTCTACATATTTATAAGATTTGAGCAATTCATTTAACTTTTCTTGATTTCAGTTTCTTTGTCTGTAAAGAAGGGGGTTGGACCATGTGACCTTTACTAAATAAAGTCCTTTGTGGTTCTGACCATGTTCAGTGGGTTCCCATTTCTGCAGCACAGAGAGAAAAGCACTTGATATTTCAAAAGGCTTATTTTATAGGTACATTTCTCATTAGGGAAAAATTGTTTTAAGAAGTTAGGGACCATCTGTCAATTATGTCAAATGCTGCTGTGAATCAAATGAGATTGATTTAGTGAGGTCTTAGGCTCTCTCTCAAGGGTTCACTCAAGAAACGAAAAGATAAACTGCAGTTAGTGTGTGCTGCATATCTACTTCCTAGCCTGTTTCCTTCCATCTAAAATCCCTTTGCTCCCAAGATGAAATGCAAGGAAGTCAGGAACTCTTAGTCCATTCCAGTATCTGGAAGGTGTCAGGAGAGAATGTCTTGCTCAGTATTTGTTGTTTGATGACAGATTCTCCAATCTTCCTCTTCTTGTGTTGACATGCCGCCAAAATCATTGTTTTGCCAATCACTGGGCAGTATTAGGAACATCGAATGGGGGTTCAAGGCCAAATGTCCTTGCCTATCTTGAAAATGGTGTGTGAAGTCAAAATGACCTTTGCAAATCTCCTAAGATGAATTATGGCACATTGGAGTTTGTAAAAAAGGCCTTCAAAAGTCATTTGTTGTTCTATATAGCAAGGTGTAATATGCAATAGACTATACAAAGCTAAATATAAGCTTACTACATTTTTAAATAGAAAGAGAGAAATAAAAGACAGAAAAGAAAATAAACATACAGTATTGAATTTGCTGAGTTAAATGGTTTACTGTTTTATCCTTAAACTGCAGCAGCTGTATGAGCTGTGAAATAGGAAATGTGTGAACTGATGTCGGATGAGTGTGATTTCTAGTTCACACTCCATGTGCCTAGGAGGGCTCAGTAGGCTGGAGTATTTATTGATATTACCTGGGGCTGGCCCATAGGGCCTGCTTCCTGACTGCTTCAACAACTGACCAGGGTGAGTATCATTCCTCCCTTTCTCCAACCCGCCCTCATATCACCACATCCAGGAGTATACTGCTAGCCATGGGGAGCTTTGGAAGTCCAGCACTAAGAGAATTCTGTAAGGTCCCTTCAAAACCTTCATAAGAGACCACCTACCATTTTACCCACAAGGTGGCAGGGTTAGGCATGGTGAGCTACAATAGGTGGTGCTGCAGTATCAGATAACTCTGAAATCCCAGAGGATTAAAACACAAGTCTATTTCTTGCTCCTACCACAGATTGATTGAGGGCTCTGCTTCAAGTTCTGTTCATGCTGAAACTCAGGCTGATAAAGCAGTGCTATGTGAAAATGTTATGAAAATATTATTCGCTGTGGCGGAAGGTGGGAGAAATGAAGCAAATCACATATAGCCTCTTTTAAATTTCCATTTGAACAGACACACATCACTCTGCACACTTTGCATTGGTACAAGTAAATCATATGGCCATTCCTTCTACCACAGAGACTAGCAAATGTAATCCCATCTATGCTTAGGAGCACAATTAAAGATATTTCCTGAACCACCGTTACAACAAACATATGCCCCCAAAAGTGAATTCTGCAGGTCTACACTGATCTGGCCTTATGTTCTTGAATAAGCTTCAGGAATTGATGGTTGTTTCAGCTCAGCTGCACTGAATGAGTTTCATACTGCAGTGGAGGAACAAATAGCCTTGTCATTCTTTTCCTTTATTTAAGAAAAAAGGATGCAGAGGGGAGGGGGTTGGGAGGCTGGGTGGAAGAGGTGAAGGGAATAAGAAGTACAAATTGGTAGTTACAAAATAGTCATACCATAAGAAGTCAGCAATATTTTAATAACTATGGAGGTTGCCAGGTGGGCACTGGAAATATCAGGGAGACCACTATCGTATGTAATTGTCTAACCACTATGCTATACTTATTAAACAAATATAAATAATATTAAGTATAAACTTTAATTAAAAGATTAAATAAAATTGCATCTTTAAAAACAACGGAGGAGCTGCAGGGGGGTTTTCCATGGGGCTGCAGGGGGTTTCTTTTCTCCTCAGCCAGGGCAAAAGGCCAAGATCAACCCTTGAGGGTTACTGTCAGGGCTGTCATGAGCCTTGATTTCCTACTTCAGACATTAAAAAACAACAACAACAACAACAACAACAAAAAAACAACGGAGGGTGGGAGGAAGGAGAGAGAGAGAGAGAGAGAGAATCCCTAATAGAACCCTAGTAGAATCTCAACTGTCATTTGAGAGCCAGCATGATGCATTTTTTAAATTAACGCCTGTGCTCTCATAGCAGAATAATGGGTCCTCCAAGATGCTGATGTTTAAATCCCCAGACCTGTGATTATGTTGTTGTGTGGCAAAGTGGAACCAAGATTTAAGATGGAATTAAAGTTATTGCTCAGCTGACCTTGACATAGGGAGATTATTCTGGATTATCTGGAGATTGCTGCAATCTCCAGAGATTTTAGAGGAAGAAGAGGTCAGAGGTTAAGAGTAATATGAAGATGGAGGAAGAGTGTCAGGAGTTGAGGCAGGGAAAGCGGGCAGCCTCTGGAAGTTAGAAAAAGCAAGAAACAGACTCCCTTCCACCCAAAAGCCTCTAGAAAGAATGCAGCCCTGCCAACACTTTGACTATTCCGGTAAGACCCAAGTCAGACTTCTGGTATACAAAACTGTAAGATAAAATAAACGTGCATTGTTCTAAGCCACTAATTGTGTGGCAACTAATGGTTGAAGCAAATAGAAAGCCAATACAATACCTTCATATATATTTTTAAACTAACTTGTACTTCTGAAACCCTAGCTACTCAAAGATGTTCTGTTAACTATGCCAATAATTAGGCCATGTAATATGTACTTAGATGAAAGGAATAAAAGTAAGCACAATGGTCTGAATGTTATTTAATTTTTTAAAGAGAAATTCTCTCAAACCATATGTCACTTCTTTGATCAAAAAAGAAAAAAAGAGATGTGCAGGTAAAGGTTTCAGTGTCTTAGACTTCTTGAAAATATACACAAACCTTCCAACTCATGTGCCTTTATGCTCTAGGTTTTCATTGTTTTCCTGTGGTTGTGTCAAAATCTCTTATGGCATCACCTGTTTTTGAAGCTGCTTTATTTTTTATTTTTTATTCAGAGACTACAGGTTGAGAAAAACTGAGTGAAAAACAATGGCATCTTGAAATTACATGCTAAGCTCACTAAAGCTAGAACCATCTCTTATGCAAGTCTTGATTAATAACAGTTTGATTTTTCCTTATCATTGACTTTTTTTTTCAAAAAGCTTGTATAGTCTGTCATCAATTCTTTACATTTCAAAGTTTTGTGGACAATGGCATACTAAATAATATTTCTACACAGTATTTTAAAATTCTAGTTCACTTTTGCCTACAAATACCTATCACTGCCAATTAAATATTATAGAAAGGAAATTGTTTCTCGAATTCAAGGAAATAAAGGATCAAATTAACTCATCGAGTAGTTAAGTGAATTTTCTATATGAATAAGGATGCTAATAAGCTAGCTGAATTACTACACTGATTTGTGGAACTATGATGTGCATTGGTGAATAAACAGTAACACTCAGAAGGTCTAATTGGTTTCAGCTGATGTTAAATATTTCTTACCATTGTTAAAGGCTACTAAAAAATACAGAGCGATATTATTTGGCTGGCTCTTTAACAGGAAATTTCATAGGACCACGATAGGAATAATCTTGAGGAATCACTGGCATAATGCATCTCTAATATTTTAAAAGCTGCCCAAGCTTTTGAATAGGAATCTAATCCCGATTTAGGCACAGTAATATTGATCTGCAAAATGGGATTTAAAACAAGCAACCTCTTATCAAAAGTGTCTCTATGGGCATGGTAGAACCACAGGGCTTACCCTTTCAATTCCAATGACCTTAGGCGATGGAGTACATTGTACAGAAAGTGGTCCCTCAGTTTGGTTGACTTACAAAATGCCTCACACGCGTACCTAAAAACCAGTGGCAATATACTTTTTAAGTCTAAAAGAATCTTCCTGCGGTTTGTACTGTTCTTTTTATACATTAGGGCAGCATAGGAAGACTCGGTGGCATCGTGACCTTGTTGGTCCCCAAGGTTAGAGATTTTTTACTGGAGAGCTGCCTCAGGCCCAGCACGAAACACAGGGCACCCCTTTTCAGAGCCCTCTGCTACCTGGACAGCAAGGGATGCTTAAAGCACAAATGCCCGTGGAGTTGGGAAAGCTCTGCTTCATTACAGAATATGAACACTTCTCATCTCTAGATGGCAGCCTTTGACGACTTTGAAAAGCAGTATCTGTCCCCCTCTGCCACCCTCACTCCCCTCGCACCCCAATCGCGGCTCCCGGTCAATACAGTACCTGCTCCCTGTGTGCCTAGGCTGTGCCTGCTGGGCTTTGCTGCTCTCCAAGGATGCGCACAATTTCATCCCGGTGCCTGATACCTTGGGCTGGGTGCTGCCTGGATGTTTGCTTGGGGGAAGGGGGAGTCCGGACAAGGAGGCTATCCACAGGGAGCTCCTTGCCTGGGAAAGGCGGGGTGCGGGGCTCTGAGCCCTCATCACCCTGCGCTCAGCAACCAGCACCAACAGCGCGCAAGCCACCTGCCCAGCCGGCGGGGCACCACCAGGGCTACAGCCTCAATTTACCCATGAGGTTTATGTGGATGAAAATAGAAAAATCTCAGTTTCTCCAATTCGCAAAGGACTTTATCAGAAGGAGCGCAGAACAGGGCAAAGGGTGGGGGGTCGGGAGACGGGGCAGACACAGACCAGGGAAACAGTTGCTCCGATGCTCCCACCTGGCAGCAGCGTCTAAGGGGCGTCCTTGACTCACCCGTGGGGCGACCCCAGGGCTGGGTGGGGTCGGGGAAGGCGCTCCGCAGACATAGGGGAGAAATCCAGTCTGGCAGGGGGTGTGAGGGCAGCAGAGGCGGGTGGGACTGGGGCGGAGGGAGGTTATTTTCTGCTCCTAGTCTGCGGCAGGGGTTAGGCGCGATCTGTCCACCACAGCCCACCTCACTCCACCCCAGACCTTCATCCTCACTCCATCCCTCCCCAGCGACCGCGGACACTCACCCAGATCAAGGTGGACGGAATTGGCGGGGAGGAAGGAGGGGGGCAGTTTGCCCTAGTCCGGCTTCCTCCTATTTCCACCCGAACCTCGGAAACCCGCCTCCCCGCAAGGTGCGAAACCTCTCCAGGCGGCATCCGCACACAGCCCGGCTCCAGCCGGGGCACAACAGACCCCAGGTCCCGGCCCTCCAGGCGGCTGACCCCCATCGTGCCGCTCCCGCTCCGAGGCCGCACCCAGCCTGGCGCCCCGGCCAGGGCACAGGCACCCCCTTCCCCCAAGCGCTCCTCGCCCAGCCCCGGGCGAATTCATCCGGGGTGCAGAGTCCTCGGTCTGGTTCTCGGGAGCCCCGCGCAGACCCAGGCGCCCCCAGGGCAAGTTTGAGCGACACAAGGGCGAAAACGGAGTTTGTGGGCACTGGGTTAGGCAAAGGGGGAGGGAAGGGAAGGTCTTACCTTGGGACCGAGAGCAGAGAGCTGCCATCCATGGTGGATGGGGGCGCTGAGAAGAAAGGACCTGGTCCCCGGTGCAGAGGGCCGGAGCGCGCAGGGGGACAGAAGCGCGCAGGCTGGGACCGCCCGCCGCTGGGCTGTGGGAGGCGAGGTCTTCCCGGCGGGAGTCGCCCCTTCTAATCTGGCCAGAAGGCTTGGCCAAAGCTACAGCCTTGTGCGCAGCTCCCGCCTTCCTTCTTCCTCCAGGGCTGCCCCAGTCGCCGTTGTCACTCGCTCCTTCTGAGCTTTCCCAGCCGCTCCAGGTGCCCTGCAGAAGTGACTCCAACAGAATTTCTTTCTCCCCGCCCTGCTGTCCTGTCCCCTCCCCTCTCCTGTTCTCTGGGGTACAGCAGCCTGAGCCCTAAAGTTGTTCATCCACTTTCCCAGATTTGCGCTCTGCTCCCGCCCACATTCCCACTGGCCTCTCACCATTCCTTTGGCTCCATCTCTGGGTTTGATTTTTGTCTTCTACCAGGTAACAGTGCTGTTCGATCCCCAATTATTTTCTCTTTAGTTAGCCATTATGGGTTGTGATTCCCACAGTTCTTCACTTAACTCATTTTGCTTGATTGTGGCTCAGGCATCCTGGGTTTGTTAGAAGCCTGTGTGCACATGGAGACTTCGGAACCAATGACAGGGGTCAAGGGACCCAGGCCCTTCCAGGAAGGGCTGTCACAGAAATCCCACAGTGCCTGCTTTAGTGTCTCCCTGAGCAAAAATGACAATTGTTTTAGGGAAAAAAACATACATAGTAGCGATGACTGCTAAGATGGTTGTGCTGTTGACTCTAACCCTTAAAAACAAAAATTTCATTACAAAATAAATGTAAAAATATGGACCTTGACCAAGTCTCACGCTGAACTGTAAAATACAAAACTATAATACTTTTACTACAAAACTTAGGAGCCAAATCTTTGGGATTTAGGGCTAAAAGTTCTTGCATTTGACAACAAAAACACAATCCATAAAATAAAAATTTGATAAATAGGATTTCATTGAATTTAAAAACATCTGCTATGAGAAAGACCCTGTTAAGGGAGTTCAAAGACAAGCTACACACTGGAAGCAAAGATCTGTAGTCAGATATCCGACCAAAGACTAGTCTCTAGAATATATTTTTAAACCCTTTCAAAGCTCAACTGTAGACAAATCTAACTGAAACTTAGACAAATTTAATTAAACTGAAATTGCCCTCAAAAGGATTTGCAGATGACAAATAAGTACATGAAAAGATGTTCAACCTACTAGACAAATGCAAATTAAAAACAGTGCTGTTTCACTATACATCTATCAGAATTACTGAAATAAAAAACAGTGACAAGAACAATTGCTAGTGAGGATGCAGAGAAAATTAGTTTCTGTTGCTCACCTATTGCTGGTGGGAATGTAAAATGTAAAATGTAAACTTCACTCTGGGAAAATGAGAGGCTTCTCTTCCCTTCCCCCATTCTTGGAATATGTATTCTGTTTGCCTTCTCTATCCTACATGCTGCCCCAAGGACACAGCCTTGAGATAACAAGCTATTGTTGAGACCATCTGGATTGAATCTGTGA